CGGGTTCTGTCGATCAACACAACATTCATTGCATGTTAAATGTGAAATTAAACTTTTCATCAACAATAAACAAACCCTGTATCTGTGAATTCGCATGGAATGAAAACAAAGCATTTCTAATTCACAGTATCCGATCGGAAATTACAGCGGATTTTATCGGAGAAGTTGTGCATCATGCTCATAGTATTAGATCCATATAGGAAGGTCCTTAATGTAACCCTCACAATTGAGATCAGGCGTTACAAATGGTGGTTTTGACGCCGTAGTTTGGTCACTATCACCGGCGGGCTTTGGACCCTATGGCATGAGGCTCGAGCCCCGGCACCACCACCCCACATCGGTGGTACGTAGCTTTGCTGTCGTCCGTTTCCATACCACGCCTGACGTAGAGGATCCTTATGTGGTTCACCCCTCCAAATCCCTGGGCTTAGATTGCCGGTTCTCATAAGTGGGTCTTTGTGACCATGGATTTCACCCCGCCTGTTGTTCGTCACATAAGTTTGTGTAATAAAAATAACCATAGTTTTGGTTCGTTGGTCGGATACGTTAACTGAATCACATTAAAGTCCCAAAGTTGATCACTTTACCAAAGTAGTCCTTCAGTTTTGTAGCCCGGCTCATGACAATAGATTGCACAATTATTCATGAAATCGTGGAGAAATAATCGTCATTATTATTGTTTCAACCGTTATTACTATTATTACTATTGATGATTATGGGATTCACCTCTTCTATTACAAAGTAAATTTATACAGTGAAAAAAAACAGCGGATCAATGGAAAAAGCTGTTTTGGAGAAAAAATTGCCAACTGATGCAACATACCGAATTCAGATTGTACTGCAACGTATGCGAAAGATCATACGTGTGGCTATAGTAGAAATTACTGCCAAGATCGACGCTGTTAAGCAATTTCAAGTAGCGTGCCTCCTCTGCGAGGATCCGAGTGCGATTTGATGCTGTCGCACAAAACTGTGTCCATTCGGAGTTTGTGTCGAATGGTCCGGGTGGGGCCAGTACACCATTCCCGTCATCTTGACCTAATTTTGACATGGATGTCGTCCGGCTTCGCGAATTCGTCATATTAACGAACACCTCCGAGGAATCGTTACCGGGAATGTAGATTGTGGTGGTATCCTCCACCTGTAATGAAACACATTCGAGCGACAGAGAGTCAATGGATTGATTAGAACGAATAAAACATCTCCCATAGGGCAACTGGGCCGAAATAGCACACTATTCTGTATATACACAAACACATCCGATACACACACGTAAACACGGTTTGGCTGTTCCAGCATATCAGTTTAAGATTAGTGGCAGGGTAAATCTTTCCAGCGAGCAAAATAAGTTTGATAGTATTCGGAACCCTGCCTAACTACATGATGGTACATAGTATGTCAGTTATGAGATGAAACTTCATGACTTTACACTGTGACTTGACTGTGGTATTTTCCTACTCTGGATGACGTGATGAAAGACTACTCGGTTTTCTTGAAAGAAAATATCGGACTACGATAGGCAACGCTGTTCGCGAACCGATACCGCAGCATAAGTTGACCTCGTAAGACAAAAACAAGGACAAATACCGAGAACTTGATGAATGCCTAAAGCAGCCGTAACAGTTCTGCATTTAGAGAAGCTACCTCTGACATTCATTGCATATACCCCTAATGTTAGTGAAAGGAACGAAATAGATCAGACAGAATACGCGTCATCAAGGCCATAAGAATGGGCTCTGACGGCTACTAAAATAGATGCTCATATTCACTGAAGATCTCCATTGTGACGATGACAGAACGTCAGAAGTAGCGAACAAACTCGTCTTCGACCATTTCTTGCTCTGGCTAATACAGTCACATATATGAGGTAAACAGATATGCAACCAATAATGGCAGAATAAAAGTGTGCTGAGTGGACGAAATAGATGAAAGAAAAAACTGTTGGGAAATACGTAACAAAAGCTTTTTAGTTAGTGGTTTAAAATAGGGAACAGTTCTCAGTTCATTCAGTGAACCATAAACTCAGGAAGCACTCAACTCGAGGTCTAATACAATTACAGCCCATTGGTGGTACATACCCACCGTTCCGAGGCTATCGGTCGAAAACGAACTAAGTGACTATCGTAGGAGACGAAATCTGAACAAACTTGAATTTATGAGTCTTATCTGCCCGAGTGTGAGTTGACAGACACAGTGGTAACATACACCTTTCAAGTGAGAGGTCCGGTGCTCAAATCCCCGACGGGATGGTGGATATGCACTAACGGTCAGCGTCAACGAGAAAGGAATTCGAGTCTAGAGATTCCCGAGTTTATGGCTGACTGGATCACATATGGATTACATGTGAAGTTTAAGTCTGAAGGACGGTCGGTTCGAGTAGACCACACATTTCACACTACTACTGACAAGTAACTCAGTTAAATGTGAATCAACTTAGGCTACATTTCGGTTACAATCACATTTGTATGAACTAAAGACAGGTCATATACATAATAATTAATTATAAGCCTCAGTAATTAAGATGCTTGTTCCGAAACCGGCATTTACTCACCTTAAATATTTTATGTTCCCCAATTTTCGCAATCAGACGGCTTTTGGTTATCAGGATCAGGTAATAACCACGAAGAAATCGTATAACTCCAACAAGACCGTCACATTTTGTAGACAAAATAAGTGAAGGCTCACCAGTACCCGTATGAAGAGCCGATGCAGCCGCCTGTTGAAGCTCGCGTGGAGATGGAGGTAAGCCCTCACCGACCGATTCAGTGCTTTGTTCACCCGACTTTGAACCGTTTAACGGAGAAGATAGCTGAGAACGGTGTTTCTTGAAAACGTTCCCGAACCGAAACCAACTGGACGTGTGCGAAGAAGAAGAGCCGCTTGATTGAAATGATTTTAAATCACTACTGGAACTATTGCGTAGGCCCGGTTGGAAGTTTCGCTTTGAAAGCCAGCAGGAAAAAAACGATTACAAAAGCTGACACACAGAGACTGCTGCTAGTCGAACGGAAAAAGAGGTGGTCTTTGGGCACTAACATTTAGTAATATTAAAGAACCTGTATTTGTGTAATAAAAATGACGGTAAAGTAAATCATAAACATTAGATAAGCAACTGTTTTCGGTAACTTATAATGATGTTGTTAGAGTTCTTATGTACTCAGAAACACGACCAATTAGAAGGTTTTGTTCAATGCAACATGATGAAAGGACTTCCTAAGATACATACAAATAGAATCAGAAAAGACACATTCATTATTCTTTCTTTACAAGCCGAGACGATGTTGAAAACTCTGATAAGAAGCCTGAACAAAGCAGTAAAAGCTACTCAGAGCTGTGCATTTGCGTTGCTCTTTCAAAAATTTATCAATATTGACCATAAGGAATAAAGATAAAGAAGTAATGATAACCGCTTCAACTGTTGCATGTTTGCTTTGTCCCATATGTATGTCTTATGTACGGCAATCAAGACTGAATGAGTTAACATCGGTCCGTGTACACCGCACGTGCGACGCTTGCTCATCCGATAGAAGCCGGTCGTAAATCGAAACATTCGATATCATTTATCAGGTACGTGGGGCCGGTCTAAATAGGTAAATTGTGAACACTGGCCATAGCTGAAACCAATTGCATTCAAAAGTAGATCGTCATTACACGGAAGTTTAAGCGATAAAGCTTGTACCGCACGACGATCAGCTCAGCTTGACTTTCGCTCAGCTCAACAGCGTGTTTCGTNTGCGTTTGTGGCCTAGTACGGCTCGAAGCAAAAGTCTTGAACCAACGATTTCGGTAATGACTGTGTCCCGCTAAAGCAGATAAATGACCACGCAGCAAATTAAACAGCGTGTGTATTTTCAGTAAACACACACGTAGACGGTATATGGGTCAGCGAGTAAACCGGAGCGTCGACATGTGAGCAGGTAGACAGGCCAACAACAGGTGCAAGCGTTAGAACAAAGCAGAATGATGTCCAACTGGGCAGTCAAGCAGTCAACGAATCACTGGGTGCGGACAGTTCAATATTGACATCTGATTGACTGGAACGGATCAAATTCGCCATAGACTAAAGTAAGCATGACATGTGTGTGCGTGCGTGAGTGGTAGCAGGCAGCATCAGTCAATCAATTAGCAATACCAAAGGCATGCAAGGCAAACGCTTCAGTCAGCATTAGGCCGCATCGATGCTGGATGTTGCTCCTTTTCTGTCCCACTCAAAGTCTTGCAGTGAAAAAGAAGTTGCCTCTGCTATGAGATAAACGCGGATCACGATCAAGCAATTACAAAAAGTACCCAGCCAGCTTTCAACTAATTATCATTAGTTATATAATAGCCTGAGAATAAATCTGTCTCATGCGTTCTCAATCACCAAACCAATAGGACGCTACAACAATATAACCAAACATAAACTTTCTGAGAACCCGGAAATTCGAACTGGTAAGGTTTTCTTGATCCGCAGATACTTACCATTTCTTGTGCGAGATCAATGCAAAGGGACGGTATCTTCAGCAAAGTCGACAGTAACAAAAAGATGTCTCGGGGATATTAGTGACCAAATCAGAAAATCGGCAGCGGTAACTGAATGAATTGCTAGGAAGATGCTAAGAGTGAAGTGAATGAGGAGACAGAGAGTTCACAAGTACCAAGTAAACGTTAAGAAGTGGACTAGAAGTTCTACCACATGGCGGACATTGATTATGGATTCTAGTCTGAAATCTGTCCACAGCATTGGATCTCTCAGAAGGGATCCGTAATAGAACGAAATTCACAAATCGCAATCGAACAGAATCGAAAAGAAAAACAAGTAAAGTCTAGAAAGAAGTCAGAAAAAACTAAGAAAGACCGTGAAAAATTGGTGGTGCGAAACAGATCGTGGAATGTAATATCGCATATTTGGAACAAAAGTGCAACGACGGGTCTGAAGACAATAATCAGAGTCAATGGTAGAAAGATTAGTCAGAGAAACGGCCAAGTGAAAGTCTTAAGGACTCTATTTGACAGACCTATCCTGTTGAGGTCCTGTGCGGTTTGCTACGCCAAGTTCCTGAGATTATGTTGCCGGTAGTCAGCAGACTCTTGCAACTACGGGGTTTACTCTTTCTATTGTTCATCATTGTTCATGTAGGAAGAAAAAAGTCACTAAATCAGCAGGTTAAAATCAATGTCATATATCAAATGCCTGATCACTGACGAACACTCGGTTGATACCTTGAAAGTCGAACAACAAAATGAAATACTATTATTTCTTAAACAGAACCAGTCAAGATCAGTTAAGATCAAGAAGTTATTATAAAACACTCATTCAATGCTCGCCTTCCTCCGTCTGGAATTTTCGATAAGTTTCAATGACGAGAGGACCAAAACGATTATTCTTCTTCACGTTTCAAAACCATAATCAATTAAAATGTCAACATATTCGACAACTAGGTAAGTACAAAATGATCATTCAACAATACTCAGATAGGATGTGACAAAATTGTTACTTACTCGATTTGCTGCTTGAATTGTGTGTAAGAGACGTGCTATCTCGGACCGGGAATAAACGAAAGGATCCTCCACGATATGCAAACGCCAAAGTCTGTCGAATGGAGACTCGGCTTCCACTGTGGCTGTACACAGACCACTTCCGGTACATTCTAAAAGTGAAGACTCTTCGTCTAAAGGCACCGGTACTCTGTCAATTTTCAAAACACGAAATCTGGTTTCATCTGCATCCGACCCAACCAGATAGATGTGATTTATTGTTTCATAGACACTGATCATCCTTATCCAATTGATATAAAGAGCTATCCATCCCTTAAATACCGGGAGCACACAGACACCTAAAAAGAAAAATTAATGATAACGATTGCAAGCTGACAAATACTTGTGTGATGTTTCGATCATAACCCGGTTCCCAAATCGATAAACAGACTGAATTGATAGTAACTATCATGGAACTATTCAACGGCAAATGCTTTCAAATGAAGTGCTGAACAATTCTTAAGGTAAATTGAAAAGCAAGGCGATTTAGAATGACAGTGCTTTGATCGGACCACGAACCAACAAAACATAAGCATAACGACAATAAGCTTTAGTGATTTCATTAGTAAATGACACCCGAGAAGCTATAACAGTGAGAGAGCGCTTGAGAATTGGTCCTGTTATTTTTAGTATTTATAGTGTGTTAATCTAACCTCGTTTTAATTATGACGTAAAAACAAACCGCAGTTTAATTATTAGTCAAAATCAGTATGCTAACATTGCGCATAATTTATACAGCCGAATATCCCCCGGTACCGTAGTTGCACAACTTTCCAAGGTCAGATCAGGTCAGGTC